TCAGAAAAGGTAGCTTGTGAAGCATCTGCTTACATTTTATTTAATTCAGTTGTGTAAATCCACAAGGAGCAGCAAACCTTAGAGCAGCATCAGCAGCACGGGTCAGCTGATTATAACCTGTACACAAACAAAAACTACTGCAGTTCTTAATACAAATTACTGTGAGATGTGATTCCAAACACAGTGCCAGAGAAGAAAATGTAAAAGTGGTCACATCAAATTCTGACTGACTCAAGCCTGCCCATATTTTAATAAACTCCTGCCCTTATTTCTTATTTTCCTTGCAAAGTATAAAGGAATGGGGGGTTTCTCATGACTTTTGCACACTGTACATGCAACAATAGTGGTAATTGTTTGAGTTAATTACTGTCGTTCACACTGCACACTTACTGTGCCCTGCTCACAAAAAAAGATCGGTGCTTTATTGTCATTTTTTTTTGTTCATTTTATATGCAAACCTGTATTTCCTGAACAGAACAAATTCCAAGGTACGAATGAATAGCAGACAACATGTTGAACTTGAGGCTTCCATATGCTCTCATTTAATACATTTATGTTGAAATTAGGCCCTGACCTCAGCTCATTTTGTCTCTCTCGTCCCAGTTTTCACCAGATCTGATTTCTCTTTCCCAGAATATTTTTAGCAGCGTTTGAGAGAGTACAGTTTTCTCCAGGAGTTACAGCACCATACGATCAACTGCCAGTCAATATGGGCTGCTCATGAATATCTTGCTTAATACCTACTAAGCATGAGCTCAAAGAGCTTACTGCATATGATTTTTGTTTCTGTAATGTCTTTGTTCTTTTGTATGCTGAACAGCAGCTTATTTAGACTGGAAATTTACTATATGAAGACTGACAATATGGAGTGAGGACAATGCTCCGAGTCACAAGCAAGTTCACTGTATATGATGTGTTCAGGTCTTGTGTTTCTTCTCTGGACCCCAGAACTGCTTAGTGAGGCTTAGCAGACCAGGCTGGTAACCAAAACAGAGGAGGGGAGCTGAAAACATACAACACAGTGTGCTTGGTCACTAATCACTGTGTACTAGCATCACACCCACATCTGGAGACATCTTTCCACGCGCGTGTGAGCGAAAGGCAGAGTGTGAACAGGAGTTTAGTCAGACAATGACAGAAAAGGTGTGTAACGGTCTGAGCGTGTGCACTTTTGTAATTGTTAAGTCTGTGGTTAGAACAAAGAGTTGTTTGTCTGAGGTTTCAGAGAGAAGTTAGAGAGGACGCTGGTTTGATTCCCAGGAGAGATGTAGTCAAAGGTAGATGAGGCAACATCGGCATGAGGCGCTGGAAAGTAACATCAGCTAAAACCCCAGGTTTGTGCATATGTGTGTGTCTATGCTCCAGATAGACACACACACCCCTCCAAAGGGACCTCGCCCTCATATTCAGTCATTTTAATGACAACCATATTCTCTGCTTTTGGACACACACACACACACACACACAGTCCTAGTCACGCACTTGCACATGCACACACACTCACACCCTTATGTTTGCCATGCATTTGACAGTGAAGCACAGCATTGTTTTATTTGGTCAAAATGGGACTCAGATGTTTTGAGCGAGTCTCATAAACAACCTGCAGCAAGCCAGCCGTCTCATCAGGCTGCATTACCCAAATCATTGGAGGAGCCCAACAGATCTGACCACTCGCTTCAAATTAAAGCAAGGATTTTTTATTAAACTCTCATATCCTCCGTCTTACTGTGGGACCCAGGATTACATGTTGCTAGCTTGTGTTCTGCTGGGAAGCCTGCAACCTATTTGGGCCCCTATCCCAGGTTTAAAATATAAATTAATAAAAAATAAAAACCTGGGAGGGGAACACAAAAGGCCAAAGAGCATTTGAGGCTTTCATGAAAAAGTCAGACCAACGGCTGATATAGCTCTGCATTCTGCATCTCCACCCTCATTTTAGTGATTTTGACTCATTGTAGCATTTTCTGTGGAGGCTGTAATAGAGACCTCCGCAGAGCTTTAATTAGTGTTTAGTGCTCTTACAGCTGGACTGTAAAGGTATAAATTAGAAGTGTGGATGTAAATACATAAATATGGTTGCCCGCTCCTTAGTTTGTGGCTATTTTATACTTTTCGTTTAGTTTGTCACAGAGCTTGCAATAAACAAGCAGCAAATCTAGATGTCAGAATCTTGCACACAGCTCTGCAATCCAACCTGTAATGTACTGTGGTGTGGTTTAAATACAGTTTTATCTTAAACAATCTGCTAAATACAGAATCTGCAGCTGACAATGCTTCCCCTCGCTGAGCATCATCTGAAAGAATTACTAACTTGCAGTGTTACTGTATTGCACAGCTTGCATTACTTTGATAATGAAGATCCAGTTCTTAACCAAAATTGGTGACACTGACTGTATAAAAAAGACAGACATAGCCACTGTGATGTCACCTACTGTTTTAAACCTCTGTTTTAATGTGAGAAAGAGGACGAGGAGAGGAGGTTGAGGTACAGATTTTAGTTTTGGATAAAGGTAGGAGAGGAAGAAGAGCAGTGGAGTAAAACATGGAGAGCCAAAGTCAGAAAGTAAAGGTTTATTTAGGTCTAGAATATTAAGTGTAATACAGCAGCCAGGGTGAGCATGAGCTAAAACATTACAAAGATTACTGGATACGTTTCTATGAAGTTCATCTCCAAAGTGCTGAATCCTATTACCACTGGTGATCCCACATAGCTTTACCTCAAATCTCACCATAGGTGATGAATGACCCAGTTTAGGCCAAGCTGTCAGACCTCACGTTTCACTCCAGAATACTTGACCTGGACAAATTCATGGTCAGGTGCCCTTGCCCTAGTCCTGCGGCTGCAAAACAAGCCTGGATCATCACCACTTCATCACCGTACGTGACAGTTGGTATGAAGTGTTTTTGCTGATGTTCTGTGTTTGCTTTTCACTAAATTTGGGACTGTGCATTAAAGCCAAACATCTCCACTCTGGCCTCATTTGACATGCTACCTCAGGGGTGGCTGTAGCTCAGGTGGCAGAGCAGGTCAGCCACTAATCAGAAGGTCGGTGGTTCGATCCCAGGCTGCCTCCTGGCTGCATGCCAAATATCCTTGAGCAAGATACTAACCCCGTGTTTGCCTACTGGTGGTGGTCAGAGGGCCCGGTGGCGCCAGTGTCCGGCAGCCTCGCCTCTGTCAGTGCACCCAAAGGGCAGCTGTGGCTACAATGTAGCTTGCCATCACCAGTGTGTGAATGACTGAATGTAGTGTGAAGTGCTTTGGGGTCCTTAGGGACTAGAAAAGCGCTATACAAATGCAGGCCATTTACCTCTGCTTTTACAGAGGGGCGGCTTACATTTTGTGTGTACTTACTGTGTAAATTAGGATGTGCTTAATTTTTCTAAGGACTGTGAAAACTTTCTTTTTCACTTGGATGTATCTTTAATTTTGGAGGTATGAAGTGAATGATTTCTATAGCTTTTTCTTGTGACGTGCTATTCTACATCTGATTTCTTTTTCTGTGTTATTGCACTACTGGAAAAAAAGTAAAAATGTCCACATTATAGCAGCAATGGATCCAACTGGTTCCAAAAAAAAAAGCATGTACTTTAGTTAAGTACTTCTATATAACACAGTATCACTTGTTGCTTTTAGAACAAGACTTACCTGACTCCATTAAATATTTGCTGTGGCGACTGGGCCATCGTATTACAGCACATGGAAACAGTGAGCAGCAATCTGTGAGTGCTTTAGGATCCCAGTGAACTGGGATATTTTTTTTCCAGCACAGAACAGCTTTAAGTGTATTGTTTGAAATGCAAAATTGCAATAAGTGGATGAAGAACACGCACACACAGTTTGGATCTTGGTCTCTTCATCAGGTTCTTAATCAGTTCCTCCTTATGGACTCACATACACACATAAACTCACACAAAGGTTGACCCCGAGGGGAGGAAATTGAATTAGCAGTGTGTAATGCAGCTCCTTGTGTGTGTAATCAGCGCAGGCTTAGAATACAGGACCATTGTAAGACACTGTGGTCGGTGCCTGGAGAACCAGTAACCGCTGGGGGAAGCTGCTCTTATCACCAGATATGATTATAGCTGAGGGAACGTGTGTGTGTGTGTGTGTGTGTGTGTGTGTGTGTGTGGGAGTGGTGGTGAGATTTGTGTGGGAGTCATGACTGCGTGGGGAATGTGTGTCTACATGCCTGTGATGGTGCACAAGTACACAACTTTTAAAATGATGCAAATAAAAAAGAAGAAGAAGCTGAGACCCAGCAATGCACTTTTTTTATAATTTTTGCATCCAATGTTGCGCCAACAAAAATAATAGCGGCATTTTTTTACATTCGTTACAGCTAATGCTTTTGATCTGTGTACATTTTTTCTTTTGTTTTTTTTCTTATAGTGTTTTTATATCCTGTGGTTAGAATAACAAAAATACATTCGTTTTTTTTTTGTTTCCACTATCATTGTTCGAAGCAGGCTGCAGGCTGTGTTTTCCACTGTGGATGTCATTGTTTTTCAATGTCTGTTAATTATTTTTGTGCTGGTATTTTGCCTCCTGATATAGTGTTTCCTGCTATTGTCTTTTTCTACCAGGCTAGCTGCCTCTGGACTTGAGCCAGCCAGTCCCTCCTACCTTAAAATACACAAGCACACATACACACACATCATGACCATGAGTGTGCGCACACACACACACACACACACACACACACACACACACACACACACACATTCTCTGTCTCTGCCCTCCCTCTGCTCTCCCTTCCTCCTCTTGGCACTTGAGAGAAAACACAAGAAGTCAGTGATACGGCAAAACCAACTCTGTGTGTGTGTGTGTGTGTGTGTGTGTGTGTGTGTGTGTGTTTGTGTGTGTGTGTGTGTGTGTGTGTGTGTGTGTGTGTGGTGTGTGTGTGTGTGTGTGTGTGTGTGTGTGGGAGGGAGGGAGGGAGGGAGAGAGTCCACCAGTCAGCTCAGAGGGGTTAATCTCTCTCTCTCTTTCTCGCTCTCTCTCCCTCAGTCTCTCCCTCCCTCTGTTGCCTTTTGTTGCGGCCCCTCACTTTCTCAACTCTTGGACAGAGGGAACTGATACTGTGCCTTTGCATGTGTGTGTTTGTGTGTGTGTGTGATGTTGGAGAATCCTCACCACTTTCTGGAACTGTACATGAACATGACTGATGGGACTTTGTGAAGCACTCCTCGCGCTGAATGTTTACAAGGCAGACTGGTAAGGCAGTCCTGTTCTTGGGAAAGCTGTCTGATTTCATGCAAATGCAAAAGTGTCCGTGTGTGTCTATATGTGTGTGTATGCGTGTGTGTTTTTGGGTCTGCGTGTGGGGAAATGCTGTCAGCAATCCAGCAGATTATTTGCAAATGTGTGGTGTGTTTCTGCGTTTTTTGAGCTTTGCGAACTTTTTTTTTTTAATGTTTTCAAGATATAAAAACGCTTGCAGAAGGTTCCTCTGTCTTTTTGCTTTCCTTTCATTCCACCTCCTCTCCGTATCCCCCTCTTTCTGCCCGGCCCAACTTACTCAAGTTACCGGCTTCCTCCTGTTGTTATGAGCCCCGTGGTTTCTCTGCAGTACTCTGAGGGCGCTCCCACGCTCTCTTAAAGAGAAAGAAAGGAAGGGAAACGGCGATAACTATTTCAGAGCCACAAAAGAAGTGGGAGAAGCATGGTACGGTTTCGCTCCACGTCTCTCTCTCTGCACCTCCGTGCAAGTTTTTGTCCCTTTTAGCACTGAGCAATTTGGAAAAATGGATCTTCCTTTTGCACTGGTTGCTTACTTTTTTTTCTGGACAAAAGTTTTCTCTTTTCTTCCAAGGTGGTGGGGTAGTGAGAAAATTGGAAACAGAGCCACCCACAGTGGAAGTGAGTCAGCCCGGCATTTAGTGGTGTGTTGACTTTGGAAATGGCAGGGATTGGGGGCGGTGGTGGTGCTAGTGCAGGGGGACAGAAGAAGTTGTCAGAAAAAGATAAAGAGAAAAAAAACAAAAAGTGTCAATTTGTTCATATTTTCTGGTGAGGGTCCCAGAATCTGTGCAAAGTGGGAGCTGAGTTGTGGATAACAGGCATTATAGGAGAGGAGAGGAGAGGAGAGGAGGCTGTTTATAAAGGGAGGGAGCGGCTTGTGTCCATCTGGGACAATCCCAAGTGCTGAAAGCTTCCCCACCCTGATCCCAAACATCTCTCTCCCCCTTCACTCCCTCTGTCTTTCTCATTGTCTCTCTCCTGCTCCTTCACCATAAAATGCAAGTGGATACATTTTGATTTCAGTCTGTGGAAGGCATCCAACTTGTTGCATTTACAGACACATGCCGCTATCATTTTCCTTCTGCCTTTTCTTTCTTTAAATATCCTTTGTCACGTCCTGCCTCTGTTTTCCCCTCTGCTTCCCTGTGGATAAACTGCCAGCATGTTAGATGTAACATGACAACATAAAACTAAGAGAATGGGGAAGCCCTGCTGCATTTTTGAATTGCATGTTGCATAATATAAAACAGTATCAATGCATTGTGGAAGAAGCACAGGCAAAGCACAGACTGTGCAACATTGTGATTCAGTCACAGCAAGTCACAGCCAAAGGCTATTGTTTTGTCCCATGGGAGAGATTATGGCTGATGGTTAACAAAACAGGCAAAAAGCTGATATCACAAAAAAAAAAAAAAGAAAGAAATTTGATTTGTCCATCAGCAGCGCCTTACAAGCCAGTAACAAACATTTTACACATGTTCTCCTCTTTCTCATCACTCACCACCTTTAAATATTTACTGCTTTCTAAGTAATTTAATGCCAGAATGTAACCCTGTAGAACATAAGCCACAACCCAGTCAGTCTCTTCAGTCCTCTCCCTTTGTTTAGCCTGCATGACCTTCCTCCAGCTCCTCTACTTCCTCCTCTTCCTCTTCCCTCCCTGCTCTGCCTTCCTCCCTCTGCTCTGCCTGGATACCCAGCGATAAGGGGACAGCGACGGTAGCACTTCCTCTCGCCACAGGAAGCAGGAAGTGTTGATTTCCACCACAGCCTCCCTGGGCAAACTCTGCACTGAGTCCACTGGGATCCTCATTCGCACTCTCAGCCGTATCGCAGCGAGCCTGGGATACAGGCAAAGAAGCGCATGTGTTGTGATTGGAAGCTGTCTGCTCACAATGACCCCAGTATGCATTTGCTTCGCAGCTGTGCCTCCTGACTGATTTTCATGGGAAAGCACCTGGGAAGCAGCCTGGTTTGCGTCTCTTTGACCTCAGGCTTGGCTTGCAGGTCACAGGATGATTGGCTAATTATTTCCCTAATCACGCTGCATGTTTTGTTATCACCCTCTGTGGCCACTGATGTGGATGGAGGCGCTGTTGAGCTTAAAAAAACACAAACAACCATTCATCAGCTAATGGATTCCAGTTACGCTGGTGGGTGGGAGGGCTGGGTGTGAGCCAGAGAGAGAGAGAGGGAGAAAGAGGTGACATAAAGAGAAGATGGGGAAGACAAAAAGTTGTGCATTAGGGCAGAAACGATACCTGAAGGGTTATTTTTCCGTTTTCTTACTTGTTTTTGTTCTGATTATGTTAAGATTATTATGATGTTATGATATCTTTGTGTGTGCGTGTTTTAAATTTGCACTGCCAAGTGAGGTCATGACTTCTTTTTTTAAAGGTTGCTTGAACAACATCTTCACTAACTGAAAACAAGGTAAAGAGGGAAAGACAGATGGACACAGCAGCAATACTGAGAAAATTATATTTGATTTGGGAAAGTATTGGCATCAAATAATCCTAGACCCACTCAGTTGGGTTTTTTAAAAACTTGTTCCAAGATAGTATTAGGAGGATATTATTTTTCAGCGAGTGACGCACATGGCCAGAAAAACAAGTGGAATTATTTTGAATTCTGAATCAAGGATTTGTAAGAGAAAGCAGGAACACAGCGGGCGGAGGGAGGTTTGGAGTCTTCACACACCCCCGTTCTCTGCTGCCTGTTGGAGCGGGGGGGCTAGGAGGAGGAATTGGCCGTCCGATTGGGGTCTGGAAAGTGGGGCCTCCCTGCTGCTGCCGAGTCGGGGCGGTCTGCTTCTCTCCACCCCAGGGAAAAGGGTAACACTACCTGGGTCTGGGTGCAGTTTCCCCCCTCCAGGGGCAAGGGTACCTAGACCCAGTTCGTAGAGTACGCTTGGGGAGTGTGATTGTGTGTACAGTGTCTATTTATGTCTGTCTCCACGTTGGGTGAGTGTTGAGTAATTGCATATGAGAGCATGAGGGTGAGAATGGATGTCTGTATCTGTGTGTGCCTGTTTGTCTGTGTCTATATGTCAGGTTGGGTATCAGACGCCACCTCTGTAGGGACATCTCAGGCCCTCCAAGGTATGGAGGCCTATCTCCCCCCACCACTTCCCCTGCCAGTGGCAGACACCCTCAGGTGTCGGTGCGTTGGTGGTTCTTTGTGTCCGGGGGTGGGCGTCCAGGTACACACCGGCTCACTCCTGGTGGCTGCTTGTTGGGGCCTGGAGCCTGGGGCTCGCTCGGGCCACTTCGGGGGTGGGGTGCCCCCGGCCTCTCGGCCTGGGGCTCGGTCACTCTGGCACAGCTGACTGCCGGCGGAGCTCACAGACACGTCACTGCAACCCCCCTGGCTTCTGCTCCGCGGCTGCTGAGTGACCCCTTATCTGGGGCTCTCCTCAGCTCTTTCTGGGACAGTGGCACGGCTGCCCCTCTTTTGGTCTTCCTTGGTCTCTTGTGTTCTGGGGGTCTCTGGATGTCTGGAGTTCTGATCTCCTCCATACCTGCTTCATGTGCTGGAGGACGGGGCTGTGGCCCCCCCACACCCTCTAGCAGATCATTACATGAAGGAACCTTTTAAATACAAGCGTGCTCATGCTCACAGGTGTACACACGGGTGATCACACACACAAACTACACCCTTTTTGGCTCCTACCTCAAAGCACACTGTGCGCTGTCGATCTTACGTGCTGCACAATAATGTTTAATATTTAGTATTTACTGTTATATTCCCATAGATCATCGCAATGATGTTGTTTATTATATTGCTCTTTTTTTTCTTCTGCTTGTTTTCTCTTTTTTCTTTCTCAACAGGTGATCCAGGTGATTGATATATGTATTTTTTGTCTGCTTATTTTGTTGGTTTTTGCCCTTTATCCCCGTCCCTCTTCCCCACTGTTTTTCTTTCCCTCTTTCTTTCTCCACTTTCTTTTCCCCAGTCAAGTCTGTCCCGTATTTAGCAAGTGAAAATAAAATAAAATAAAATAAACAATAAAAGGTGAATCAAATAGACCATTATGGCAAGGCTGGGATGGTCCATTTGGTAAAGTAAATCCGTTGGGCATCTTTCTTTGCCTTTAGACAACAATTCTGAAGAGCCAAACGGGACAGGCAAAAAAAAGAAAAGAAAAGAAAAAAGAGAGAAAGCAGGAACTGTGAAAGTCAGAGCGACTAAGTATGAAACACCACACACACAGAGTTTTTATAGTGCTGCTCTTATTATTATTATTTTCCAGTGTTTTCTGTGTGTGTGTGTGTGTGTGTGTGTCTATATATCTATGAAAATCATTCATCATCTCTCACGCATAACCCTTGCATGGTGGAAAATGAGTTGCCTAAGTGACAGAAGTGGATGAGGTCTCATGTTACTAAACTTTACGAGCTAGAAATTTGCATAATGAGAAAAGGACACATCTACTTTTTAAATTAATTCAATTAAATTCAATTTTATTTATATAGCACCAAATCACATCAACAGTCAAGCAGCTTTATATTGTAAGGCAAAGACCCTACAATGATACAGAGAAAACCCTGTCAATCGGATAACCTTGTAGCAGTCCGAGCAAGCACATGGAGAAAGTGGGATGCAAAAACTCCCTTTTAAGAGGAAGAAAGCTCAGATGGATTCAGGCTCAGGGAGGAGCAGCCATCTGCCATATACTATGACTGTCTGCACTTTCCAGATGGTGAAAAAAAAGATAATTTGCACCTGGGATGTGGATTGATGCTAAAGGTTGTGGCCCTTGTCATTAAATGTTATGGATATTGGATTTAAAGCCTAGCATTATAACTTGGTTTTTCTCGTAATTAACCACACAAGTCAGAAGGGGGAAAAAACATTAATGAAATAAACAGAAGAGTGGCAAAGGCAGCTACTTGTGAGTTTGACTAAGCAGCTGAGTAGAAGAGAAAGCAACAATGCCATAGCAAAGGATGCTGAGACATTTGGGCGATTAG